ATTAGTGTATGTTACGAATGTTTTTAATATTTTGTAGCTTGTTTGATCAGTTTTCAAATTAGCATATTTTTTTTTTTCAATTGAAGTTGCAAACTTTACCGTGAGTGCGTAATGCGAGTAACAAACTACTCGTGCCATCTCATCCCAAAATTTCACTTCTCTTCCTTCACAGGAGCGCCATCGCTGCTCACAAAGAAATCATGCATAGACCTCCTAAAATCCTGCAAGTCCATGCCGCATCTCAGGCAAATACAGGCCCATATCTTCACCCATGGCCTCCACCACAACATCGACGTGCTGCACAAGCTCGTGGCCTTCACCTCGGCGGCTAATCTAGCCCACGCTGACAAGATCCTCGCCCGAATCGAACGCCCGACCCTGTTCATTTACAACGTAATGATCAAGGCTCATGCGAAATCCGGTAGTTTTCGGGAAGCCCTTTTCCTGTTCGACGAATTGCGCGCGCGGGAGTTGTGTCCCGATAATTACACATACCCTTTCGTGTTCAAGGCTGTCGTGGGGCTGGGGCTGGTTCGTGAGGGTGAAAAGATTCATGGGTTCGTGTTGAAAAGTGGAGTTCTGTATGATTCTTATGTCTGTAATTCGGTTTTGAATATGTACGGAGAGCTGGGGTTTGTACTGTGCTTGAGTAAACTGTTCGATGAAATGCCGTTGAGAGACTTGGTCTCTTGGAACGTGTTTATTTCTGGTTTAGTGAAGAACAACAGGTTTGAAGATGCTGTTCGCGTCTACAAGAAAATGAGGGGAGTGAAAAGTGTGCTGCCGGATGAGGCCACGGTTGTGACCACTCTATCGGCTTGTACGGCGTTAAAAAATTTGGATCTTGGTCGTGAGATTCATGAGTATGTAAAAACACAGCTGAATTTTACGTTGATAATAGGAAATGCACTTCTCGATATGTATGCCAAGTGTGGGTGCTTAGATATAGCCATGAAAATATTTAACTCCATGCCGGAAAAGAATGTGATCTGTTGGACGAGCATGATGTCGGCATATGTGAATGCTGGCCGTCTGAATGAGGCCCGTGCACTGTTTGAGAGGACCCCAGTCCGGGATCTCATCCTGTGGACGACCATGATTAATGGGTATGTGCAGTTTAACGAGGTTGATGAGGCTATGGCCTTGTTTAGGTACATGCAGATGGAGAGAATTAAGCCGGACAAGTATACTTTAGTTGCTTTACTTACTGGATGCGCTCAATTGGGAGCATTGCAACAAGGCGAGTGGATTCACACGTACTTGTTGGACAATCGAATAAATATTGATGCTGTGGTTGGTACTGCTTTAATCGAGATGTATGCAAAATGCGGATGTTTAGAGAAATCGTTATATATTTTTTACCAGTTGAAACAAAAGGATACGGCATCGTGGACTTCCATAATATGTGCGCTTGCTTTGAACGGAAACACATCTAAGGCGTTAGAATTATTTTCTGAAATGATAGAAGTCGGGATTAGACCTGATGATATCACCTTTATAGGCGTTCTGAGTGCCTGCAGTCATGGTGGGCTGGTTGAGGAAGGGCGTCGGCATTTCGACTCCATGGCTAGGGTTTATCAGGTAGAGCCGAAGCTTGAGCACTATGGATGCCTGATCGACCTTCTTGGTCGTGCAGGGCTCTTGGATGAGGCCGAGGACATGATAAATAAAGTCTCCAGTCGAGAAAACGAGATTGTCGTGCCACTTTATGGAGCACTGCTTAGTGCTTGCAGGAACTATGAGAACGTGAATATGGGTGAACGTATTGCAAGGCGGCTCTTGGAGATTGAGTCGAGTGAATCCAGCAGTCATACTCTCATGGCCAGCATTTATGCTGCGGCCAGTAGATGGGAGGATGTGACGAGAGTCAGAGATAGAATGGCTGCTGTGGGGTCCAAGAAGCTGCCTGGATGCAGTGCAGTCGAAATTGGTAATGCCGGCTAGTTCGTGGTGGGAGCTTGAGTTGA